CGGGACCTGCAATTGCACATATTTGCAAACACCAGTTTACTTCACTGGGATTCCAAATTAGCAAGGGAACCCACAACAATTGCCTGGATTCCTAGAATAAAGCAAGTATCTCAATAAAGCAAGTCATACAAAGTTTTTTTTTTTAAAAGTATATATATATATACTTTTACAAGTGTAGAAGAATATACCTTTAAGTATAGGTATTAAAGAATAGAGATGAATCCTTCCAAGAATCTCAACTCTGCTGCTGCTGCTAATAGCTTTAAATATTACTTACAGCAGTGAGAAGCATTTCCACAGGTGGAGTATATAAATTCCTACCAACTTCAGTACCCAAAGTTGTTTCAAAGGTGTGTGATGTGTTTCTCTTCCATTCCCACTGCAGGCTTTCTCAGCCACCACAACAGCTCTGACAGCAGCAGATTTATTGAAGAGCCTAATTCCCACCTCTTCTTGCAGGAAGTTGCACTGCCCTCAACATCCAGCCCCTGCTCCTTTGCCCTCCAAACCCCTGAACTCAGTAAGAGAAAGGTAGCATGGTGCATGGGAAAGAAGACCAGACTGAGACACTTGAAGTCCACGTCTTGAAGCTGTCACAAACTGCATGCATGGAGAAAGGCCTTAGGCACGTCACTACATTTCTTGCACATTGTTTTTTCTCTACGATGTGAGTATTAGAGTATGTGAAATGGACAGTAGTAAACTGAACAAAGACTTAATGTTCTCCCAGGCTTGGACATTGCTGAGGGGAGGATCTAAGGATGATCAAGTTTAGGGAACAAGGTTTGCCACTGGAATGCTCTCAAAGGGCACACACAAGCTAAGACAGGAAGAAGAAATCTCACCTTCTGTCTCTAAAACTATGATGCAACCTGCAGCGGGATTCCCTCCAAAACTCCCTCCATCCCTATGTGTTCCTAACTGAATTCCAGAAAATCATCTACGACATCTATTTTTCTAGAAGCCTCATGTGAGGGGATCTACTGGGAACCCTTAAATCCAGCTTCTCTCTCAACCCAAAATGTCCTCTTTTCATAGGAAAAGAGATGAATGGATTCACGGCCCCTCCTCTTGGCCATTACAAAAAATATACAATATTTCTGCTGGCAGAAAACAATACAAATAAAAATATTTTTTTAAATTAAGTCATGTTCTGAAAGGTAATTAACAATGATAGTCTACTTTGGAGGGAAAATGTTTTGTCAGCAAACGGGGCTTGAGCACATACAGTGCTCTGTTACGTAGTGTGTGGGTACAAAGCACCTTGGACATATTCCTCGCCCAACAAAATGTTAGTAGAATGAGAGAGGTAAGAGATACACATTTTCAGAAATTTATTACTCCCTAATAAATCATAAGACAACGAAGACCAGAAGATATGGATTTGAGAGAATTTGAGGGAAGTCATAACCATGAATATTAAAGAAAAAAATTATACCACACATGATGAGCAGATAGAACTTGATTTTATTCTGCTACTATTGCCAGCATTAGGGGAGGAGGCACAAACTAAGTCTGGATACCTAGCTAGGGAGAGACAAAGGGCTGAAGAGTTTATGCCTACCAATTGGCTTTTGACCCAAAGGAAAAATAAACTTTCCCCTACCTTCATGATAAAAGATAGCTCTACAAATTGGAGAGAGTCTCCTACCCCCACCCCAAGGTTCCTACTCTTCCCTTCCACAGAAACTGGGAGTTAGGGGCACTGTCTTCCTTGATGTTTACATTTCAAAGAGAAAGATCTCAGGTCCTAGAAAAAGACACCTTCAGGCTGTAAAACTGGAAAGAGACTAGGAGAAGATTTGCATCTCAAGAAACAGAGAAAGGGCTTAGAATAAATTTTCTAAAGTAGATGCTCTAAGGGATGCCAAGGGGTTTGGTCCAGCTGAGGGGAACTTTAAGGCCATCTTTCTTGGTCACGAGAGAGAATGGGAGGATCTGAGATTATTTCATCTAATGAACCTAAGAGACTAACAGCATATTTGATCCCATCTCCAAGAGGAATTGGGCTGGGGCTGCAGGAGTCAATCTCCACATCCAGCTTCACCAGAGCTATTTCTAAATACAGGCGTGGATAACTGGAAGGCATCTGGGGAGTATGTCTGTCGGTAGGTAGGGATCTCATTCTGGAGGCAGGGTACAAACACAATGACCTCCTCTGTCCCCTAGAGGCTTCCTTAGTATTCAATCTCTTAGACCACATGGTCCCTGAGGAGTGGCTGATGGACCTGCACAGGCAATACCAGGAAGGGGAGAGAAACAATGCACTCTGCCTCACTCTCCCCTGCCCCCCAACCCCCTATGAGGCAGATTCGGAAGAATTGAGATGTGAGTCAGAATCTTTTGCAGGTTCTATTATTAGCCTGGAGAACAAAGGCTTCCCTGCTCCTCTGTTGCCTAGCTCTCTCCAGGATCTGCCTGGGCTCCACCTCCTCCAGCCTCTCTTTGGCTACCAAGGAGGATCAGACTCCTCTGACAGCCTCCTCAGCCACGAATTACCCCCACGTAGGAGTGGGAATGTCAGAGCTCCAAAGGGAACCTGTTGGTCACAGCAGAACAGCTGCTAATTGTCCCCAGCCTAATCTGCATTCTCTCCTCTCTTGGTTGTGTGAGAGAGGAGCTGGTGGATGGCAAAGCTGCTGCACTGTTTTGGAAAAATGGATTAGATGCTTGAGAATTCAGTGGCTCCTTCAGTGGAGCACAGCACCGAAGTCTCAGTAATGCTCTGGATTGTGTGCTTGTTTACAAAGCGGTAAATTGAGGCTGTAAAGCAAGTTGCCACACCCCTGTGAGCTTAGCAGAACAGGGTCTACTATTTCCATTTCCAGCAGGAAAATTAAGGCCCAAAGTCACAGAATTATCACAACTCAAAAGGGCTAGCCTAGATGTCTAATTGTAATGAATAAAAGGCTCAGTCAGAGAGAGGAAAGGAATATGACCAAGACCAGCTAGAGCTTGGGTCCCTGGCCATGAGCTGGGTGCTCTTTTCTATTACATCCATTTTCTGTGTTGCCCAAGCTTTCCCCAGTTCCCCACTGCCCCCTCTCAGTGCGGATTTATCTCTGCCATGACTTCTCCCACCCCCAATTGCTGTCCTGCCTCACCTGAAAGCCCTGCATAAGGAAGGGAAGCCAATCTGGGAGATAAGATGCCCACAAGAAACAGGCTGGAGCTCATATGTGCTGTCCAGAAAACAAAGTGACAAGTGTACATATACAAATTGGAGTTCCTAAGTGAATTCTGAAGGAAGGTCAGGAAAAGCCAGGGTCATCACAGGGAGCTGGTTCCAAGGAAAGTAACATGGGTGGAGAAGGCTTTAGGAGATCGTTTTCTTCAGCTGCAGAAAGGCCTCTGGAGGCTGCTGGGTGGAAGAGGGCACTGGGGACTGCTGGAGTGGGGAGCGAGGATCAAAGATATTAAACTGGCTTGGAGAGAATATAAGCTGTTAAATTAAATAAGCAGGAGGCCATTAGCCTGAGGCTATCTCTGTACATTGAATTCCTTCCCGCAAAACTGCAACCTAGTTTAGGAGTACAGGCATACCTCAGAGATATTGCAGGTCTAGTTCCAGATCACTTGCAATAAAGCAAGTATCTCAATAAAGCAAGTCATACAAAGTTTTTGTTTCCCAGAGCATATTGTAGAGGTGAAGAGAAAACTATCTCTTTGCCCTATGAAGGTTTGCTGAAAATTAACTGGCAAAGGACAGGATAATTGGAGAAAAGGTATACACATTTATTAATGTGATCTGAAAATCATGCCCCTCCAGATAGTGGAGATCAAGAGAGAGTGCTTTCACTGGGTCACAAGTCAAATCTCAACAACATGAAACAAGACAAGGTGTTACTAAACCAAACTGGGGTCTACTCACCCAAGGCAGCAAAGCCAAACACTGAAGCTGAGAGTTGCAGCAGGAGGAAAAGACTTTATTTATTGCAGGACAAAAAGCAAGGATTGCAGGCAGCTCATGCTTAAGACCCAAACTCCCCAATGGCTTACCAGTCAGGCTTTTTAAAGGCAGGGGTACATTTGAGGCAGGCAAAACCGCAAATCAGTACATGGAGGTTACACATTGGCCTGGCCCAAAAAGGCAGGATATCCTGAAGTTGCGGGGGGTGAGGGGGCAGTGCACAGGTGGATTCAGAGATTCTGGGATTGCTGAAAGGAATGCTAAAATGGGTATGATGGCTCTTCTGGGAAATTTAGAACAAAAAATGGAGATTGGAGTCCAATCCTTCAGTTCCCTCAGAAAAGAAAAGAAATAACAAAGATCAAAGCAGAAATAAATGAAATCAATAAAAAAAAACTAGTACGGAATATTAATAAAACAAAAAGGTGGTTCTTTGAAAAAATAAAAAAAATTGAAAGCCTCTTGCTAGATTAATAAGAAGCAGAAAAGAAAGGACTCTAATAAGTTCTAACAGGAATGAAAAAGGAGAAATTACAACTGATACCACAGAAATACAAAATATCATCTATGAATACTATAAAAACCTTTACACAGGGCCGCAGCCGCCATCTTCCAGTAATTTGCCAAAATGACGAACACAAAGGGAAAGAGGAGAGGCACGCGATACATGTTCTCTGGGCCTTTTAGAAAACATGGAGTTGTTCCTTTGGCCAGATACATGCGAACCTACAAGAAAAGTGATATTGTGGACATCAAGGGAATGGGTACTGTTCAAAAAGGCATGCCCCACAAATGTTACCATGGCAAAACTGGAAGAGTCTATAATGTTACCCAGCATGCTGTTGGAATTGTTGTAAACAAACAAGTTAAGGGCAAGATTCTTGCCAAGAGGATTAATGTGCATATTGAACACATTAAGCACTCTAAGAGCAGAGATAGCTTCCTGAAACGTGTGAAGTAAAATGATCAGAAAAAGAAGGAGGCCAAAGAGAAAGGTACCTGGGTTCAGTTGAAGCACCAGCCTGCTCCACCCAGAGAAGCACACTTTGTGAGAACAAATGGAAAGGAGGCCGAGCTGCTGGAACCTATTCCCTATGAATTCATGGCGTAATAGGTGTCTCACACTTTGTGAGGAGCCTGAGGTACTGGGATGACCTGTTCCCTATGAATTCATGGTGTACTAGGCATAGCACACTTTGTGAGAAGCAAAGGACAGGACCTTGAGCTGCTGGAACCTATTCCCTGTGAATTCATGGCGTAGGAGACAAAACTAATAAAAGCCGCTGGACTCTAAAAAAAAAAAAAACCTTTATGCACATAAACTTGAAAATATGGAGGAAATGGACAAATT